TGAACGATTGATCATCCCTCCAGCGGATTCTCCATATATTTTCTTCTCCCGAAAGCACGGGACAGATGGTCCGGTTACCAATTCGTTTCCTAAATATATCCCACCCCAATTCAAGCCTTATTTTTCAGCCTGCACTGCGACTGGTCATGTGATTCAAAGCAAGGATCCCTTTGCTGGCAAACTGGAGGGAGCTTACATTTACCCTTCAACTATTGACGCAAAGGGCTGCCGCGTGACGAGCGCGACTGCATATTGTGAGTTGATTGCTTTCCTGACAATCACTCGAATGATTGAGTAAAGTCTTGGAATTTGCTAAGCCCCCATTCTTCTCAGATTTTCCTCATCAGTCACGCAGCAATTTCGTTGTACGAAGCAATTGCGAGGTGGACAAACTTATTCTGAAGAAAAGTGACACCAGCTCGGAAGTGCAAGTGCTTGGAGTCGAATACTCTAATTGCGGGACGCATTGTCGTGTCATGGTTGAGAGGGAAGTGATAATGAGCGCCGGTTCTATCGGAACACCTGCGATCCTAGAGAGGAGTGGGATAGGAAACGAACGAATTCTGAAACCGTTAAACATACCATTGGCACTGAATCTTGAGGGCGTCGGCTCGAATTTTTCGGATCATATATTTGTGTTTGCAAGTTACCGGCTCAAACCTGGTCACAAAACCTTAGAGGATCTTACCAGGGACCCGGAATACGCTGCCGAGCAAAAGTCGATACATGAGCAGTCCGGAGGTGGTTTATTCAGTCATCCCACTTCTATCTTTAACTTTCAAGCCCTGAAATCACTCGTGAGTGAAGAGGAGATGCACGAGGGACTGAAGCTTCTCGAGAATTGTCCAAGCTATCTGTCGCCCAAACAATTTGAAGCCGTCGTTAATCGAATCAAAAACGGAGTAGCGCTAGAATTCAGCTTAGTCAACACCTTCTTTGTTCGTGATTAGCCCTGATCTCAAAAAAAAAACATCTATTTCTGGTGCTGATGACCGCAGACCCCTCGGATATTCCCTCCATGCGGTTGTTTCTCCGTGTCCATCTAGGAGCCCGATCTTCCTTCCGACAAGGATACTTCATAGTAGGTTAAATGATGGTCTTTATTTGATTTTATAGTACTGTTATCCTTTGTTGAGGGGGCTGGATGGTTACTGTGCCACTTCACCTTCTAGTCTTACTGCGAACGTCATACTCCAATATCCCTTATCACGCGGCTCATCTCACATCAAAAGCCAGGATCCCGGGGAGCCCCCTTTGATCGATCCGAGTAGGCGTTTTATGATTCGCACTGAGGACTGCTTTTAAATTTTTCAACTGAAATATGTATGACCTGGTTTGTTGTAGATTATTTGATGCACCCATTTGATGCTTGGTTATTGGCTCAGGGTGGAAAACAGATTAGGAAAATTATGGCACAAGACGCATTTAAGGATATTATCTTGGACGAACAATACCCTGGACCGTCTGTCCAAACCCAAGAGCAGTGGGAAGAGAGCATCAGGAAGAGAGCGTCGACTTCGTGTCAGTGATTTAACCGTGAATAGGAGTAATCATACCAAAACTCAAGATTTTTTTTTCTTTAATAGATCACCCAATCGGAACTTGTTCGATGCTGCCCCAGAGTGAATCTGGGGTTGTCGATCCCCAGCTGAGGGTATACGGTACCCAAAATTTAAGAGTCGTGGATGCTAGGTGAGTGGCCATATCCCACAAAAAAAACCAAGGCCAAAGCGGTGACAAAACACGGTTGTTCACTTTGTTTTTACTCTGTTTCTGTTAGTATTTTGCCAGTCCAGCTTACCAGCCATCCAGCAATGACAGTCTATGCAATCGCAGAAAAAGCAGCTGAAATGATCCTGAACCAGTGATTGTTCTATGTTTCAATGGATCTAATCGCGTTCTCGAAATTTTTCAGGTTCCTCTTTCTCATGAAAATGAATTCAGCCATAAATTTTCTTTCAAAGCAGTTATGAAGTGAATTTCAATGTATTATAATACATGCTTGTCCAAGCTTCTTGTTGGAAATGGACAAGAGTGATTGGAACAACAGCAACCAGTCCCAGGTACAAGAAGCTTTTTAAATTTCTCACTTTTTGATTGACTCCAGAAGTAAATTTCCCTGTGTAGACAACTGGGTGTATGATGCCTTGATCGCGATTCACGGGGCTGGTTTGCTTTGGATAATAGTGAGGAACACATGGCCTCAGTTCTCAACGACTCTCTACCCCAATCGACTGAAAATCGCCTTTCTGGGTCTCAGTTAATCCTGATCATACATGCATACCGTTGAGTGAAATGAATGTCAATTGAAATTTGATTGTATCTACCCAGTGGATGATTATGATGCTCCCAGGAAATAACAACAAAAGTTACAAATGGCCGATTTTGTTTTCCGTGCCAGTCACTGTTGGGGCTGCCTAACATTTCGCGATGACAATGCGACAACCTCGGTTTCTTTCGGTGTCTCTTTTCTGCGAGACGCGTTGATGCTTAGACATTTGTACAGAACTTGTATCTGCCATGGTTTCGAGAGATGCCTTGAGCGACTTCCATGTATGCTACCAGAATGAGAGAGTGTGTGTTGAAGGGCATTGCTGGCGTCACAGGTTGATGGTCAACAGGTTGAGATTCGCGTGCAGTGGTGGACTGAAGGCTCCAGGGTCATCCACCCAGAACCACCTCGAGTCTATCACCAGGAAGACCACGCTTGAACGTTGGACTACATCGAAGAGCTCGATAACCACAAATAACGCTGATCGACCGTTCGAACAGACCTGAACGAAATAACCATGGCGGATGACGAGAGCTTGCTCAAGTTTTTTGCCGAGGAACGACAGTTTTTTGATGTCCTGGAGCATTATCTCGATCAAATTGATGATCGACCAGGTGCCGATCTTAAAGAGCCGCTGCCCGAGATCTTTTCGAACAACCCCTTCGGTTACTTGACTCTGCTCGTAAGTAGTACTTCCAGATATGATCTCATCTTTCGTGAAAGGACTTACCAGAATGCTAACCCCTCGTCTGTTTTGTTGTTGTTATTGTTGCTTCGGAATCCGAATCTCGACCGACAGTTAGATCGTTATCAGGAGCAGCACATTACCTTTTGGATCCCCACCTCGAACGCATGGTACAACC